GATGGCTGCGGCGCTCCGGTTGGAATCCCACTGCCGCCACGACGTAGGCTGGACGGCGGCCGCGCACGTTACGAAGGCGGTGACGTACAGGATGGTCGCTGCAGCGTTGAAGATCATCAGCTGGGGAAGGCAAAGAGCAGGTCATGAGGTCTGGGCTCAGCCTCGTGCGTTGCTGGGGCGAGGGGTGAGCAAAAGGCTCGGTTTCACATTCCTTGCTCTTCCTCCAGGAGAACCAGAGGATGAGGGTCCGGCCCCTCACGCCAGGAACCAACCTCAGGTTAACAACTCATTAATGCACCCCAGGTCGTGCTGAAAGGCTTCTGGTTGACACCACGACTGCAGCAGTGACGCGGGGGCCGTAACTTTCTGGATTGACTCGGGGTTCCCCGTTTTGAAAAATTTTCTAAGCAATTGAGGGGCAGAAGGAAACAGCGTCGTTGCGCAAAGTGCAGGGGACTTTGCTCCACCAGCCCGGGAAAGCCTGAAGCCCTGGTCCTCTCAGAGCATCTCCCAAGGATGTTTCCCACTTGGGACCTCCCCTTGCTCCCTCTCGGCTACGTACCACGAGAGGCCAGGGGATCATGTAGAACTTCAGCTGAAGCTGCAGGAGGTAAGTGACGAAGAAAAGGACCGTTACTATCCAGAAGAAGATGGACACGAACATCACCCAGCCGTATGCAGCGTGGAGGTGGTACGTTGTGTCGGCAATGAGAGCCCACACCAGTAAGCCGAGCACCTGCGGGGTGAAACGGGGAACACGTTCGGGGGGTGGTTCCTGCAGGTGGAAAGCAGAGCATCGCCCACGAACCCCGGCTAGAGGAACGTCCTGCAAGGCCGGACGGGTGAAACCTGGACATCTTCACCACCAAAGGTCCCTTCTCAACCAAGAAGCCCTCGTGCCCAGGACCGGCCCCCGCAGGGACATCTCACGGGCTGGATGACAGCCGGACATGGGGGCTCCTGCGGCCCCGGATCAGCCTGGACCGCCTCCAGGTGCGGCACCATTTAGAAAAAAAAAAAAGGGGAAAGCGAGTTTCTCAGCTTCTCTCCGTTGTTTGGTTAAGGCTGGTCCGGTTTACACGTCCTGCACCTACAGCTCGGAGGGCTCACCCTTCACCGCTAAGCAGGTTTAACTACATAGCAATTGCAGCACCATGTGCCTGCAGAGGGACCCACAAAAAAACAAGTGGGTGAGTCTGTTTCCGCCTGTGCTCAAGGAGAAATAAGCAGGGGCCAGCGCAGAGCCCTTTCCTCCCCTCCCTGCTGAGGGAGCAGGTCCCTCGGCTCCGTGGCAGGCAGGGATAGAAGAGCCCAGCCCAGGCTGCTGCTTCGTTTATTCTTTTTTTTTTTTTTTTCTTTCCTTTCCTTGTGCCGTGCCCATCCCTGATCTTTGGACTCTGCAGGAGATGCCGCCCCGCTTCACCCGCAGCGATGCAGCAAGGGAGCAGTCGCCTTCTCCAGCATCCCCACCCCAGGGAACTCTCTGCAGCAGCCGCCGCAGCAAGTTGCAAGTATTTTTTGGTTTCGAAGGCCCCTAGCCCATGGCGGAGCAAGCAGAGCATGGGACACCAGCACATAGCGACGGGGCCTGGAAAAGAAAGGCTTGTTGCAAAGCCAACAGCGTTTTCTGCGATTTGCCTTTGTTCTGCAGCCTCAACCGCAGCCCCCGTGCCGGGACACAGCGCCGGGGCTCCCGC